CAAAAATCCTCAACAAAGTATTAACAAACTGAACTCAACAATACATTAACAGGATCCTACACCATGATCAAGTGGAATTTATCCCAGGAATGAAAGGATGGTTCAATATCTCAAATCAATCAATGTGATACACCATATTAACAAATTGAAGAATAAAAATTATATGATCATCTCAATAGATGCAGAAAACTTTTGACAAAATTCAATATCATTTATGATAAAAACTCTCAGTGAAGTGGGTGCAGAAGGAACATAACTGAACATATGACTTTTATTAAGTCATATATGACAAACCTACAGCCAACACTTACAACTACATCAAAAAGAATTAAGTACCTAGGAATAAATCTAACTAAGGAGGTAAAAGACCTGTACTGGGAGAACTATGAGACATTGATGAAAGAAACTGAACATAACACAAACAAATATTCCATGCTCATGGACTGGAAGAATTAATATTGCTAAAATGACTGGATTCCCCAGGCAATTTTTCAGATTCTATCAAAATACCAATGCATTTTTCTCAGAACTAAAACAAGTACTTTGAACTGAAACACAAAAGACCCTGTATTACCAAAATAATCTTGAGAAAGAAGAACAAATCTGGAAGTATTATGCTATTTGATTTCAAGGTATACTACAAAGTTACAGTAAATAAAACAGTATAGTACTGGCACAAAAACAGACATATACATCAGTGGAAGAGAACAGAGAGCCCAGAAATAAACCCATGCTTATAATATCAATTAATCTATGACAAAGAATCGAGAACACACAATGGGGAAAAGACAGCCTCTTCAATAAATGGTGCTGGGAAAACTGGGCAGCTACATACAAAAGAATCAAACTGGACTACTTTCTCACACGATATACAAAGATAAACTCAAAATGGATTAAAGACTTAAATGTAAGACCGGAAGCCATAAAATTCTTAGAAGAAAACTTAGTAATATGCTCTTTGACATTTGTCTTAGCAATATTCTTCCCCTCAGGCAAGGGAAATAAGCACAAAAATAAACAAAAGGGACTACATCAAACTAAAAAGCTTTTGCACAGTGAAGAAACTATTAACAAATGAGAAAACAGCCTTTTGAATAGAAGAAAATATTTGCAGATGATATAACTGATAAGGGATTACTATCCAAAATGTAGAGGACTCATACAAGTCAACATCAAAAAAACAAACAACCTGATTGAAAAATGGGTAGAGGACCTGAATAGACATTTTCCCAAAGAAGACATACAGATGGCAACAGACACATGAAAAGGTGCTCAACATCAATATCATAATGGAAATGCAAATCAAAACCACAGAGAGATACCACCTTACACCTGTCAGAAAAGCTACTATCAAAAAGACAATAAATGACAGGTGTTGGGAAGGATGTAGATTTAAGGAACCCTTGTGCTATTTGTGGGCATGTAAATTGGTACAGCCAATATGGAAAACAGTATGGAGATTCCTCAAAATATTAAAACTAGAACTACCATGATCCAGCATTTCCACTTCTGGGTATCTGAAGAAAACAAAAACACGAATTCAAAAACATATATTAATCTCTATTTTCATTGCAGCATTATTTAAAATAGCCAAGATATGGAAGCAACCTAAGTGTCCACTGATAGATGAATAAAGATGTGGAATATATACATACATACACACACACACACATAAATATCTACCTATCTATCTATATATGCCATAAAAAATGAAATCTTGCAGCCTGTAACAATATGGGTGGACCTAAAGTGTATTATGCCAAATGAAATAAGCCAAAGACAAATACAGTATGATTTCACTTACATGTGGAATCTAAAAATCAAAACAAATGTAACAAAACAGAAACAGATTCATAGATACATATATAGAACAAACTGGTTGTTGCCAGAGGGGAGGTGGGATGGAATAAATGAGTGAAATAGGTGAGGGAGATTAAGAGGTACAAACTTTAGTTGTAAAATAAGTAAGTCACAGGGATGTAATGTACAGCATAGGGAATATAGTAATATCGTAATAACTTTGTATGGTGACAGATGGTAACTAGACTTATCGTGGTAATCATTTTGTAATGTATAAAAATATTGAATCACCATGCTATGCTGTACACTTGAAACTAATATAGTATTGTAAGTCAATTATACTTCAGAAAAATTTGTTCATTTCATCTAAGTTGAATGTATTGGCTTAACGGTCTTAATAGTACTCTTTTATTATCCTTTTAATACCTGTAGGATCTGTCCTTATGTCTCATTTCATTTCTGATTTTGCTAATTTGTGTCCTCTTTATTTTTCCCCATTAATTAATCTGGCTAGAATTGTATCACTCTTATTGACTGCGTCAAAAATATTTCATATATTTTGCCCAGTTTTCTGGTTGTTTACAGAGGAGCTTAAATCTGACCTTGTTACTTCATTATGGCTGCAAGTCAAAGTGTCAGGGTGAAACAACGAGGACCTATTGTATAGCACAGGGAACTGTATTCAAAATATTGTAATAACCTATAATGGAAAAGAATCTGAAAAGTGTGTGTATATATATATATACATTCAGTTATATACATATAATTGAATCTCTTTACTATACACCTGAAACATTGTAAATCAACTATATTCCAATACAAAAAAAAAGGGGGGGAGAAAACCAAGTCATGGAATAAAATTGGGGGAAAAAACCCATAAACAAAGTGTTAGGGTGATTTCTTAAACCACATACACCTTCATCGGCTTCCCTAGGTGCTTAAAATAAAAGCCCAAATCTTCAATTTGACTCACGTGGCTTTGCAAAGTTTGGCCCCAGCTCTTTTGCTTTGTAAGACTAGCCTGTTACTTCACTGAAAATCTCATGTTTCCTCCAATCACAGGGCTCTTAGTGAATGCTATTATCCTTGCCCAGAAGAATTTGCCATGCTTTCATTCCCAAATTACCTGCTTCTTTCAGATTTCAGCTTAAATTACATTCCTCAGGGTAACCTCCCCTGAAACCCCAGATTAAATGTTATATATTTTGAGAGCTCCTTATTTTCTTCTTTCATGGCAATCACCACAATTCACAATTGTGTTTACATTTTTGAGAGGGATTGTCTATTTTTCTTCTTAGTGTGTATTGTATGTCCAACACTTAAAACCCAGTGCTTGGGATTAAGCACTGAAATACTTCAGTGAAAAGATGTTCAGTTCACAAAGGGTGTGCAACTTCTTGTCAATTCGTCTCAATGTACAGGATTATCATATGAATTTAGTTCCACGGCAGAGCACTTTATTTAGCCTCGCTTAAAACACCAAGTCCTAACCACTGGACCACCAGGGAATTCCCGACTGCAGAGTACTTTAATCTGGCTGCAGTCTCTATTTCAAATTCTCAACCAGCAGATAGCAATTTTGCTTCAGGTTCTTAAATCTCCCCTAAATTAATAATTTTTACAATCTTTCTTTCCTGCACAACTCCTAGTTTCCTCTATTATTAAAATTTCCCAACAAGGTGGACTTGTTAAGTATTTACTTGAACCAAAACCTCACGGTTAAGGAAAATCTATAATGGAAGGAAATCCACCTAAACAGAATTTCTGTGTAAGAATCACTTTCAGTTAAGAGGGGATTGTTGTTTATCCACTATATTATGAGGTACATAACTTGCCCTGAAGTTCACTGAAGAGTGTTTCTAGTTTTCCAACAATCTTTGGAACACAAACTATCCTTAAATATAAGTTATATTCTCTGTGTAGCACATGGCTATTTTAATTTAGAGGATGAGAGCGTCTAAACATTCCTCTACTTAAAATTTCATGGAGCATATTAATATGGCTATTTCTAAGATTAGTAATTATTTTCATTCTTAAAGATTCTCAACACTTTTATATCTAAATTTTTGTATTTTGCTAGCTTCATTTCCCCCCCCCCCCAAAAAACGAAAAAACAAAGATCCATGTCCTGAAATTCTTGAGGAAAAGACTAAACATGTTTTAACCTATATTTTAATATTTTTCTAAAAATGGTGTATAAAAATTATACTAGCTCAGAACTTGTATGAGCGAGAAAGTGGTGAATCTAATAGTGAGAATAAGATTCTCTTTAAAGGGACAAATACATGAATCCCAAATGGCTATTTTTAAATGAATCTGGATTTCAAAGGGAGTTTAAAATCAATATGGCTGTCTCACCAACTCATTTTGAATACACAACTCTAGGTAGATACTACCGTTTAAATGACCAGCACAGAACTTCAAAGAAGTGACAGGGGAAATTAAAATCAAAGTATTGGTTGTAGATTATTCCATTTTACAATGGATGCCCAATTTTTAACAGGTGGTTATTATGGGTATTTTTGAAGTAAAACTACTGTACAGTTGACCCTTGAGTAAGGTGGGTTTGAACTTCGAGAGTCTACTCATACTTGGATATTTTTCAATAGTAAGTACTACAATACTACACAGTCCACAGTTGGTTGAATCTGCCTTTACGGAGGAACTGAAGATACAGAGGGCTGACTATAAGTTATATGTGAATTAACCTCCACATTGTTCAAGGGTCAACTGTATTTAGAAATAGTCTTTTTTTTTGGCCGTGCCGTGTGGCTTGTGGGATCTTAGTTCCCTGACCAGGCACTGAACCCAGGCCCTCAGCAGTGAGAGTGCACAGTCCTAGCCACTGGACCACCAGGGAATTCTCAGAAATAACCTTAATAATTACATATTCTACTCAATTTTTCTTAGTTATATTTCAAAATATCTCATTATATATACGAACAGGAAAAGTTCAACTTCAGGAAGAGAATAATGTAATTCACACTATTTTAGCTTTCAATGATTAAGATGACATATAAAAACCAGGAAAAAGGATACTTTCAAAAAATAGCCTTTAAAAAATTCTGAAATTAAAACTTTTATTCTTCATCTGCATGACTCCAACTCTGTAACACTGGAATAGAAAGAGTGTGTCAGTGTAGGAGTATGAACCACCTACATCTATACTACCAACCCCCAAAGGAGAGAGAAAGTACAAGTATGTTATAAAACAAGGTTTATTCTGTAATACTTTATCATAATGAATTTCATCTCTTTGGTAAAAATAAACTTTATAAACAATTTAATAATCAGAGATTAGATACAAAAACTAAACATTTGTTAAGTTGTTTTTAATATGAGCAAAGACTGGCAACTGAGAAGTGGTTCACTTGGACTGGTCATCTACTTACTGGCAATTATAACTCAAACTCAGTAATTTTTATGCTACATTAGAAAAGAGGATAACGACAGTTTAATAACTCAAATTTCTTGAATCAGAAAGCATTCTTTCACTTAAAAATAAATAATAGTTACAATGAATTGGCAATTATACATTTTTATACACTATATAATGGCAACATAATACTTTAAAATTAAGCACTTAGTTTAATAAGAAATGTACAATTTTAAAAACAAGTTTTGACAATGGCACTGGCAGTTAGATGCAAAAAATGTGCTTTTAAAAAAATGGCAGGTATAACATTAAAATACTCTACTTTGTCTTTCAATAAATATTTTGACTACATCATTAACATACTAAAGCAAACTTTAAATCAAAGCTTATATAACATTTCAAACTAACAAAAAACTATAAAATATATGTAAACTAGAAAGCCTCAAAGTTTCTTAATTAAATGCTATGGTCTTCACAAAAGGTTGTTAAGTTACTGTAGTATTTAAGACAATAGTCTTCACAGCTTTGTGAAGTATTCACACCTGTTGCTTTAATTGCTGGGAAAGGCCTCCTGGTCTACGAAGACACACACATTCCCCCCTTAAAACTTTCTCTAGTTTTGAATTCATGCTAACATATATTTAACTGACGACCCAGTATGACACTTTACATAATGCCTCAGAAAGTAGCAAAAGAAAAAATATATATATTCTAAACTTTACTATATACAAAGGAATCTGAATTAAGAGAAGTCACTGGTTACAAGGAGGACATGAAAGGCTCAAAGGTGGAAAAAAGGAGGTGATCCACCAATATTAGCTTCTCCATGTAATACTTTCTTTCTCTGAATTTGAAAAGTAAAATAAAACATGAACTTAGTAATATATTGCACAAATAAATTTCAAAAATACATATTCATGAAACACTGATTCTATTTGGGATGTGAAAGATGAAGATTAACTGTTAAAACTTCTACTAGGGATCTATTATAAACTGGAATTGGTTTTAACAATTTATATTGATGCAAGGCAAATTATATGTTAGTTTAAGTCACAGTTTTAAAATATAAAATCTCTCCAGGATTGCCAAGTTGTTTTTATTATAGTAAAATTTGCTAGTAATATATTCTTAGAAATACAATTTCCAGTCCATAGGACTTGAAATGACTTTCCTTAACTGGGTGGTTATTAGCTATGTTTTTATCTCAACAAACCTGAGGAATGGGATGTCTATGGAAGTATTAATGGCGGACCATAATTAAAAAGGTTCTTCACCCTAAAAATAACTGCCTTGGTAAATCAGCACATGGGAAGTGATGCACTGAATTCTACATAAGAATTCAATATAAAATATCCTATAACTTCTTCTTGTTAGGTTTTAGTGTGAAAGTTTATTGACCTTGCTAGTGATGAATAGAACTTTTAACTTTTAAATTTGTGGGAAGAGTACAATGAAGAGGGAGAGAAAATCAAGTTTAAAGAGTTATTGTTATTTACATTAAGACAAAAATAACTTTGAAGATCTCTATTTGAACTGGGAAGGACTTTCCCCCTCATCTTATTTTCCTTTACTTCACAAATACTAATTATCCAATGGACTGGAACCAGACAGAACATTTGCGGTACAGAATTTCAGCTGAACAAGATAAACTGGAACCAGATCATTAAAACACTGTTAATAAGGTCTATACAGAGGGCCACAGTAAATAGCTTAAAAACATTTTGTTATTAAAATGATTTTTATAATCTTGGTACTACTTATACCATGGTAAAAACAATTTTTGGTGTTATAGGCACTGTCTACAGTAAAAGATGTTAACTTGGGTTAGCCATGTTCTGTAGCAGATGTGACATATACAAAGAACAAAAAAATCCAATACCTCATCCTGCACACTTATTCATTATCAACAAATTGAAAGATTACTATTTTTCAACAGCACCGATTCTATAAATGTGGCTATCCAGGTTCAATTACAATTAACATGGGAACAGGACAGGTAATATTAATGTTGTTATCCCTGGCTTAAAGTCTTGCCAACTGAAAAAGACGTTTTCATTATGCTTCCCGTTTCAGTTTTGCCCAAATAAACTCTACAAGTTAAAAATATTTGTTTTAAAAAAAATCCAAGAAAATGCTTTATTGTCATAGAAGTAGCTGAAAGTAACAAACCAAAATCGTGAGCTTATGTGTGTATGTACGTATATGTCTGTATGTATATGTATATATGAAATTATCAGAAAATGAAAACAAGGTCATTGTCCATGAAACAGGATGTAGCATGAGATAAGACTGAACTTTTGGAAAGTTGCTTCTGCCGTTGTAAAAAAATATATAGTGAATAAGTTGAGTTTTATTAGTATCCCTTGTTCCTTTTGAATGATATAGTCACATTATATAAATGATATGAAAAAATGTATCATACAAGCAGATTTGTTCAAATACTGAAAAAGGCCTTGGTCAATACACATTTCGAACAGTAACAAAATCTTTTAGCATGGATTTAATGGCACATAATAGGTATTATACTGCCTCCTCAAAAGGATGTATTATATGAGATTTAATTTTATACGAATTTTGAAATCCACGAAGGCATTTTGTCTCTATAGTTTTGTTAAATCCTTTACCTTAACTGGGTGCACATACAAATTTAATTCATACAAAGTTTGGGCAGAATTTTTTTCCTAAATGATCTACCTTTATTTATGATAACATAAGTAATACGTATTCAAAATGTTTATATTAGATTACACTCCATTCGTACTACAAGATTCTCAGAATGCAGGACATTTAACAAGCAAATGAAAGATGCTCTTATTGCAGAAGTGTGCCAAAATGGGTGTTAACTTCCTAATACACTCTATGGCTATATCCTCTCATTGGATAGTTTCTCCTCAACAAAGACAGTTAGTGGCTAAAATTTAAACAATGGTTGCAAAGCACTTTGGGAAAGAAGAAATGGCTCCAATAAATGCTATGCAATATCTGGGAAGTTAAAAAATTTCAAAGATAATATGGTAATAGGAATTACAGGGTTCTTAAATGAAACTACATCACAAAATTGCCTTTTCTAAATCTTAGAATTTTTGCTGTGCTGCCTATGTATCCAAAAGGAACTTTCTAGACATCTAGGATCTTTTCCAATTTATATTCAACTTTGTTCACGTGTCAACAAAAAATAATTAAAAACAAAAACTAAGACAAAATAAAAAATTGAAATCTCATCCTACTGGATTGCATTGTGTCAAGAGAGGAGTATGTGAGAAAGAAAGCAGCAAAATTTTTAGCTGGATCAGCAACTATAATTAATTACAGATTGGAAGAGAAAATGAAAAAAATATGTTACAGAGTTGCCAATTCATATATTTGGACACATTAATAGAATAAAAGATTTTCCCTACAAGTTTAAGACAGAGGCTGGGGATTTTTTTTACATAATATTTCCAAATCTTATCACACTTATCACAGAAATTATGCTTTTAGGACTTCACATCATATTTATGATTGGGCATGATCCTAACAGCAATTATTTAATAAAAATTTAAAAAACAAAAATGTTTAGAAATAAACAGGTAATTAGCACCCCTCCCCCACCCTGAAACAAAAGAAGTCCATTATGGCTTTGATATCCCTTGTAAAGAATTAAGTAGAAGAGTATTGCCACATTTAAAAATAATTTCACACTAATAAGTATTTCTATTTTTTCCGCTGCTTTTGATTTTGTGTCTTTGCAGTACTTATTAGGGAACCTAGACATGTACGAATTCCAGCAAGGTGGAGCAGAGATCCAGCTGCCTCTTTGAGCTCCTCATCAATTTCTTGACACGACTGTTTTCGCATCTTTTTGTCTGGCTGCCCTTTTTCAGAGGTATCTGCACAAGCCTGTGATGCATAGCCACTGTCTCCAAGAGGATCATCTTCATAATCAACGTCTGTATCTTCTTCACTGTGAAATCCTTCACTGCCATCACTTCCTACATGGCTACTCTTTGGGATAAATTCATATACCTCATCCACAGAAGACAGGGAAGACACACTAGACCTGGATGCACAACGCTGTGCTGTCATGCTACTTGCACTGTAATTGTGGTCTTCTTTTGGATCAATGCTGGTGGCTAAAGAATCACTCTCGTGTAATCGCATAGCACTGGAATGATTAAATGCATTGCTATAACTCCTTTTTTTTTGCACTGCTGTTTTAAGAGGAAGAGGCTTCTCACCTGTGGAAAATAAAGCTTCCATCAATAAATCAAATGCATTTGATTGCAGAAACAAGCCATTTAAAACTACTACATCACTCCTGAATAAGTGCTTTAGATTGGTAATGTTTTGTGGATTTTAAAATTTTATGCAGACCATATCATCCTGTAGGTATTAATGTGAAACATTTTTAAACCACTTAATGGTATGTCTTGACCTTTCCATGGACAATATAATTACTTTGAGCTGCTTGCACAGAATGCCTCAATATCAATGTTCCATTGGTTAGCTAACCATTTACTTATTGATATTTAGGTTGTTGCCAGTTTTCCACTATTACAAATAATACTGCAATGAAAATCCATCCACAAGCCTTTTTCTTACACATACGCAATATTTTTCTAGGAGAGGTAACAAGAAATACAATTAATAAGTAAAAGAATATACACATTTTAAGTTTTAATTGGTATTTCCAAACTGCCTTCCAAAATGGTTGTACCAATTTATATTCTACAGTGTATGACAATACCCATTTCCTATACTTAACCCCTAATATTATCAATCATTTTAATTTTTCATGATCTCATGGACAAAAAGATAGTATCTCAATATCGTTTCATTTTGTATCTCCCCGATTTCTAGAGAAGCCGCATCTTTTCAAACGTGTGTTGTCCATCTATATATTTCCTCCTCTGAGGCCCACCTATTCATATATTTTGCTGACTTTTCTGTTGAACTGTTTCCTTATTTCTTACTTATAAAATCTTTTTTATATACACATGTATACTCAATATTATTCCTTTGTCTGTATATAAAGTGAAGAAATATATTGTCCCAGTGTTATGCTTAAAGATATCTGCTGTTGTCAGAACTCTAAAATTTTGATGTTTAATTAAATTTACACCGCTTTTATGGATTTCGCATTTTGTATCTCACCTCAAAAAAGGCTTTTTCCATTTCAAGGTTATAAACATACTTTTCTATGTTTTCTTATTCATAGCTTTCATTTTTACTTTTAAATTTTCAAGCTTAATTTCTAGGTATGCTATTTATTTCTTCATTTCTTGGTCAATGTAACAAGATCTATCACAGCATTAACCTCGATCTCTCAACTGCTCACATAAATTAAAAGAAATATAATAAAACAGAAACTAAGTTATTCAGATGAAAACACAATCTAGTTAGAAAGAAGTAATTCTGCCTGCAACACTGTAATATTTTGCATCCTAAATGACATTTGAGGGACTTCCCTGGTTAAGACTCCGTGCTCCCAATGCAGGGGGCCCGGGTTCTATCTCTGGTCAGGGAACTAGATCCCACATGCCGCAACTGAAAGACGCTGCATGCCACAACTAAAGAGCCCACATGCTGCAACTAAAAGAGCCTGCATGAAACAGCGAAGATCCCGTGTGCCGCAACTAAGACCTGGAGCAGCCAAATAAATAAATATTTTAAAAAAAAAAAGACATTTGAAAGGCACTCACAAAAAATGTATTTTAAAAAGAAAAGTGTGATTGCTTACATTCCAAAATTCCTTGTTCTATAGAAGTATTTAAAAGCATCATTGCAGTGGCAGCGTCAATATCAGATTCTGAAAAAGGAAAAGAGTGATAATATTCATGTTCTTTATAAAAGAGAGTCTATTATAAAGGAGAATTAAGAGGTACTAGAGATAAAGAAAGTTCTCTTCTTTAATTATTCACAATGAAAATAAGAACCTGACCTGCATTTCAATAAGGATTGCCCTTAAACAGATTAAATTAGCCAAGAAAACACAAAAATATTAATACTGTCTTTAGTCATAATTATATACAAGCCTACAAGTACTACAGATTTATATAATACTCAAGAGCTCAAACATAATTATGGATATTCCATAAGAAAAATGGGTTTTAAAAGAAAGGCTGGTAAAATCAGCAGGTTCTATTCCAGAGGTCATTATGCTCTCATACCTACTTCTGTACTAAAAGTTCACCCCTCTCCATCTTAGCCATCTCTGTTAGTCTGAACAATCGTGACTGAATAAAAGTAAAATGGTATAATCTAAAATGTGAAGGAAAAGTTAGAAAATGTTTATAAATTTTAGGTTATAAAGAATAAGTTTAAAACAAGACTGATATGAAACCCCCCATTTCTATATCTCAAAGCTGGAAAATTTTTATTACCCCAAAGTTTTGCATTTTACTTGTAATACCTAATTATAAAGTTATTTTTGATAATAAATTCATGAGGATAGTGACTTGCTTTCTCCTCATCTTGACCATAAACTCTGTGATGGCAGGAAATGTTTTTGACCTTAAAAAACATGCTTAACTTATCAGAAGATTGTTGCTATGAAGGAGCACATAATACTATACTCTTTTCCCTTGAATAAAATGTGATCTCATGAATCAGAGTCTCTAGATGAATGTCTTTCCAATTAGACTGTCAGCTTCCTTAATATAGGAATCATGACTTATCCTTTTTATGTTCCATAATGCCTGGAACAAATAGTGGTTCCTTGATAAATGTGTAAAGAATATATTACATCTTTGCCCTCCCTCCTTTCCTTAGATTAAGCTGATTATCACCAAATTACAGAGTCTTTGGCATGTTCTAAGTATTATCAACTTAGAAAATGGACAAAGATGGGCCTCTAAGAACAATAGAGGTGGGATTTAAACCTGTGCAGTCTACCTCCAGAACCCAGGCCTTCAATTTGTACTCTCATCCCTTAATACTTACTAAGCATCTATAATTAGAGTAGGAAATTTTGTAGAAAATTACCGAGTATACTGGAAATTCTCTATTCTGTTATTCATTCAATAGTGTCCTGTTATAAGGCTGACATCATTCCAGGCTGTGAGAATATAGCAGAAAACAAAACAAGAAAATCCCTAACCTCTCATAACACAAAGAAATACAGTATATCAGAGTGAAAAACACTAGGGAGAAGAATTAAGGGGGATGGGAGACAGAGAATGAGGGGAAAGGTGGTTGCAATTTTAAGTAGAGGTTAGGGAAGGCCTCAAGGAGAGGAAACAGTTGAGCAAAAACCTCAGGGAGGTGAGAGAATGAAACCATGAAGACATCCAAAGGAAAAGCATTTCAGGCAGAAAAAAACAGCAAGTTAAAAAGAATTTGAATCAGTGATTTCCACATGCCACAGCCACAGAGGCTAGCAAAACAAAGACCTCTGCAATTCCTATCTTTCAGAATGAGACCTGACTACAATACGATAAGAGTTCAGTATTCTAACATGTCTTTGAAGAATAAAAGGTACAGCTATAGCCCATATTGTATCTCTGTGTGAACTGGAAAAAAAAAAAAACTTGCCTCCAGGTGAATGTTTCCCTATACCAAGGCACACAGCTTGGGGACTGGAGTGCTGGCTGATTTCAAAGCCCATTCACTGCCTCAGCCAGGTGTCCTTGTGCAGGGCACAACTTGCATGGCATTATACTAACAGAGAGACTCCTGCTCCATGAAATAATTAAATATCTACCTTGTTTCCAACTTTATTAAAAAAAAAAAAAAGGGAGTGGTAGTGAGGGAGAGAATCTAATACTGAAATGCATTATAATGAGGAAACAATTTCAGGAAATTTATTAATCTTATAAATGAAGCACCTATAAAACATTCTTAATTTCTGAAATACAATACCTAAAACTAAAGAAAATTGATTAAGAGACGTATCCTGACAAAATAAGAAAGCTGCATGAATACCATTTCCTTTCTTAAAATAATAACAAAATTAGGTACTGTTTCTATAACAGTGGAATGATAGGAAAAGTGTTCCTTAAATACCCCTATTTCTTATAGGAATTTGTTACAGGCAAATTAATTTGAATTTTCCCACATGAAATTACTTATTTGCAAAAACTTCTTTGCAAAAGGATTTTATCTACATCTGATTTGTTTGGTTCAGAACATTTGCTAAGTATGCTTCCCACAATGCCTTGCCAATTAACTAAAAAAAAGTTTAACTTCAGTGTTAATATAAGCACCAGAGAAATGATCGCAGACACTCGGTAATCAAGAACACCTGGTTATCAATACAATCTTGAACTTCTTGGAACAAAAACTGTCTGTGTAGATTTTACAAACAATTTTTATTTATGGTACCAAATCAGTTTTGGTATTAAAATTAAACTTAAGACTTATTTGTTTATTGTCACAACTGAACACACTTCATAATGCTTTTTTTCATTAGTAAGTACTTCATGCTATTTTAAAGATGGTGCTGTGGTTTTAACAAACATACTATTAGCTATATTATTTAACATATTCAGTTCATGAAGAATGAAAATTTGGTTCATTTATAAGTCTTTTGTATATATTTTCTCTGACACTATTTAGTTTAATCCTATAATTCACTTCCAGTTTACAGTCATTTGTCGTTAGAGCCATGAGAGCCATCAAAACAGTGAGTTAAACAATAACAACAACAACAACTTAGTTAAGTCATATTATTTCCCTTTTTATCCTTCATAGTTCTGACTGAGGTTCAAAATATGCTACTGATTTAATAACTGGTTCAAATAAATCTCTGTAAAAAGTGTTTATTTATGCCTCCTGGTTTATATTTTCTTAGCCTTGATGCTAAGAAATTATTAACAATAATTGAGAAAAAAATTTAAAAGACATCAGTCTTAACTATGTGAAAGTGAGGGTTATAATAAGACAAATAAGTTTCTATCATCTGATTCTCAGTCCATTTGCTTAAGGAATGATATGAGAACCAGAGGCAGAATTTAAATGGTTATAAGCTAAGTAATAAATATAATAGGACTCACTGCCTTTACCAAACCAATATACACATTTACAGAGCATCCAAACAGAGAACCTGTTTCTCGTGATTCTTTAAAGAAGTAGGAGAGCGATTTCAAAAAATTACTAAGACTTTAAGCTGCTTGGACCACCAGTTTACTTTCATTTCAATTAAGATAAAAATTAGGCTAATTTATAACCTGAAATTTGAACTTAGATATGCACTTAGCCCCTAACTTCATCATTAACCGTCTAAATTTCATATTTCCTTGTAGTATGCTAGTGCTTAAGTATAAATACTAAAATTTACTAACTAGAATATAGTTCCGTTTTTGTCTTCTTTGTTCACTGATATATCCTTGGTGCCTAGAACAGTGCCCAGCACACAAGTGCGCTCGATAAATATTTTTAAACAGATGAATTTACTCCAAACCCACACCAAATATTGACAAAAACAGCTTTTGTTTTGCTATCTCAGTATGAGATTCCTGTGCCTCCTGCTGCCCGCTATACAATACTATAAAATAGCTATTGGCAAGATGAGCAAAAAAGATTAGACTTTAAAAAAGATGATTCTGTGAAGTGACAGATGAATCTTATATTGGATTCTAATCCTGGAGCCAACAATGAAACTTCTGTGATCTTTACAAAACACAAAACTGACAGTGTCATCTCATTCTTTAAAGACCTTCAGCAGTTCCTCCAACGCCTCATATCTGGTAGGAGTGCAGGCTTTGAAATCAGAGTTCCTTCTATACCATTTACTAGTTGTGTGACTTTGAGAAAGTTACTTAATCTCTCTGAAGTTCAGCTTCCTTATTTGTAAGAGAGGGTAACAATACCTCAAAGAGTTGCTGTAAGGCATGCGAAACACCACAGTTAGGAATTCAATGCGAACTAATGTTATAGTTATAGGAAGAAGTTCAAACTCATTATGCTAAATAAGCTCTCCTTGATTTGGCTAATGCCTGCTTAAACTTCTTCATTTGCCTTGCTCACACTAAATGATCACATCTACAGCCACTGGACCGAGGCTACCTGGTCCTCTTCTATGCTCTTAGGTTTCAGCCACACTTACCGACCTGCAGTTCCCAGCAACTGTCCTCCACCAAACCTCTACCCAAAAATATCCTCCCAACTTCTGAGGCCCAGAGCTCAAGCATCACAGTTTCTTCTCTAAGAGGCCTTTCCTGACCCACCTCTAACCTTAATTTGCCACCCACTTCCTTTTCTCCCAATGTACTCTGCATAATTCTAGTCAACCTTCTTCAATTAAACTCTATGTTTTCTGAGAGTAGGGCCTGGGTCTCTTTCATCTCTGCATATCCCAAAGCACCCAGTTCAATGCTTGGCACAATGGAGGAATTCAGCAAGTACTTGTAGAATAAACAGTTGAATGTTTAATCGATTTATCGTTGTATTTTCAAACTTTACCCTAGAAATAATATCAAGAGTTATGAAAAAGCAAATTTCCTCAGAAGTCTATGAATATGTGCTAGAGCAACCTGATTTAATGATAAATTTTAAGTTTTTGTGTGTCATTACGTTTTCCTGTTAAAACTCATGAGAATTGTGTATTCTGTTCCAGGACAGACTTGCATTGGTTGACAGAATGCCAACCACCCTCCCCACCAAGTGAATTACTAGAAGGGGAATAGCCCTAAGACTCACAATGATAGAGATGGAGGGAAGTAAGGTGTTAGCAGTCATGGAGAGATGTAAACTCATTAGATGAAGAAGTACCTAGGCTCTAGTTGTGGAAGCTGCTCCCCAAAGGAAGAAGAAGAATTTGGATGGAATAGAACAAGAGCAAGAAGAAATTCTAAATAAACCCCAGAATTCAAAAGAGAAAATGTTCTCAAAATGTGTATATGAACTAAGCTTAAAAGATTAAGGGTCAGAACTCACTGAGGCAATAAAAAGATAAAGGAAGTTTCAGCAATACCTAAATGTAAAGAGAGCACATTTACTCATGCAGGTAACAGGAAAATGGATACTTGCCTTATGTTAAGTTACAGCATATCTGAAGCAGACTCCCAATCCGCTTAACTTCTCTGCAGAGTCCTCTTAAGCTCTTTCACACTCTTTCCCTCCCTTATTTTTACAGACCACCATCATATTGTTTCCTAGGCTTGGCTTAGTGTAGTTCTAAAGAGCCTAAATATCTCTGATACAGAGAAAGGCTTTTAGTCTGAGAATTTCTATTTTTAAAGGTCATAGAAACATCTGTAGGCTCCAAAGCAACAATGCTAGGAAAACTTATGTTAATATATCACTAACCTGTAATACTAACTATGAGTAGGGGGGGAAAACTGCAATTTCAGAATTTTGACCTACTTTTTAAAAGTCTACAAAATTCTAAAAGTTAACATTGCTTTCTTCCTAAATTATAGTTCTTTACACTTAACCTATAAAAGAAATATGTAAAACCATCCCTAACTCAAAGGCCGTACAAAAACAGGTGGCAGGCCAGATTTGGCCCATGGGACATAGTTTGTCAACCTCTATTCCAGTCTGACAGACTTAAAAAGATAATTCTCTACTGCAGGCATTACTAAGAAATATTTCCCTATTTGCAAGGAAAAGTATACATAAAAGGAAATGAAAACAGGGATATAAAACAGTATACACAGTATAATCCCAGTGGAGAAAAAGTGTGTGTGGGAGGTGGGGGGTGTATGTGCATGTATGTGCATGCACGCAAACATATCTACTCATGTGAAAGGCATAAAAAGGACCAAAGCAATTATATTAAAATGTGAACAGCAGAGGTGCAAGATAGATAAGGGTAGGGGATTAAGAGGTACAAACTACTATGCATAAAAGAAATAAGCTTTAAGGATATATTGTACAACACAGGGAATAGTCAATATTTTATAATAACTATCAACAGAGTATACCTTAAAAAATCGTGAATCACTATGTTGTACACCTGAAACATATAATATCAAGTATACCATCAAGTATACCTCAATTAAAAAGTTAACAGCAGAATAAAGGGTAAGTTTTAGTTTCTTTTTTATAAATGTTTTTATTTTCCAAAACTTCTACAATGAACATTTACTACTTTTATAATTTAAAAATAATTAAACAAAAATTCTGATTTTTGATCTGAGTTTTTATGATTTAAAATACTGATCTTCCACATACCTTTGAGAGTTCGCACCTGGTTCTGCTTGAGTACAGAGCTTAAGTAGTGAGGTGATAAAGAACCACTGAAAAATAAAGAGATAAGACAAGCGTACTTATAAAAGATCTTTATTTCACATTTTATAGAACTTAGTTACAAATACAACTAATCTGTACAATAAAAAACACAAACTATTTTTACCTTGTTTTCTTTGCTAATACTATTCAGTTTAGGAAGAGTCTGCCAAAGCAGAAAGAGCATAAGATCCAAGTTTAAATCACAACTATTTGGGTGTTCTTAGGCAAAATAATTAATCTTTTAGTTTCTTCATCTGTAAAACAGGAATAATTAAACCTCCCACGTAGGGTTGCTGTGATAATTAAATAAGAATAATGAATTTAAAATGCCTGGAACAATAGACAATACATAATAGTTACTGTTTGATTTTGTATTGGATGCCTAAGTTTGATATGATATTAATACAGGTGTTAAAATACAAATAAAGTGTTTATCAAAACAATGTTTAAGGAAGACTGTATGGTGATGACAAAAAACAGATAAGCTCCTGATTTAATCAATAAATATCAGTATCAAATTAAACTTTCTATATTCATGAAAAAAGACCAGTAGTTTTTTTCTTGTTTTTGTTTTTTTAGTTCCAAAAATTAAGACATTTTGGGGACAAACTATTTCTCTTCTTTAGAATTTTTGATAGTATTTTTAAAAAATCTGCTTTTTGCTAACCAAATTAAAAGTCTAGGGCTTCCCTGGTGGCGTAGTGGTTGAGAGTCTGCCTGCCGATGCAGGGGACGTGGGTTCGTGGCCTGGTCCGGGAAGATCCCAGATGCCGCGGAGCGGCTGGGCCCGTGAGCCATGGCCGCTGAGCCTGCCCGTCTGGACCCTGTGCTCCGCAACGGGAGAGACCACAACACTGAGAGGCCCACATACGGCCAACAAAAAAGGTCTATTTCTTAGTCACAGTTTTACATACTCTATAGATCATTCTCTTCCTCAGACTGACCAATTATGACATGAAAGGGCTACACAAAGTTGTGTCAGATGGAACTGTCATTTTGCCAAACAATGATAAAGAGAAAATGTTTCTAAAAATATTCAGGTAATGTTTTAAAGTCAAAGATTATAATCTTTATGCTGTTGTTTTATCTACCTGTTTTTAAACCACAAAATCAGCTTTATTTAACATATAAACATGATAAAGCTAAGAGATATAAACATGAAAATGCATCATATCAAAGGCACAGGAAAGTGTATTTTTGATGGTATACAAAATAGAGTGCCAATTCTCCCATTTAATTTTTAATAAAAAATAACATTGCTAAATAAAACATGAAAGGACCATCAGCAGAACTTACCATTAGTTTCTAAGCTATTTTTTTTCTTTTTTTTTTTTTGCGGTACGTGGGCCTCTCACTGTTGGTGGCCTCTCCTGTTAAGGAGCACAGGCTCCAGACGCGCAGGCTCAGTGGCCATGGCTCATGGGCCTAGCCGCTCCGCAGCACGTGGGATCTTCCCGGACTGGGGCACGAACCCGTGTCCCTTGCATCGGCAGGCGGATCTCAACCACTGCGCCACCAGGGAAGCCCTAAACTATTATTTTTTTTAACTAGGACATCTCATAAGCACCAACATTAAAGAAGGTATCAACTCCCAAACAATGAGAATATAAAACTCTGATAACGTCTTTTCTAGGTTTCATTTCATAAGGATAAACCAGTTCTTGTTACAATGATCCTTCTAATCTACTAATATGGTAAATAAGCTTAAATCTCAATAAGTATATATGTATATATATTGCTGACATTTCAACTTTAGTCTTACTAATTTTTTTAACTGTATCTCAGCTATAACCACTCCTCTAAAAGTCATCTAATAATACTTAAAGAAATTAAACACATGAAATGTTGATAACTGTTGCAAATGGGAGTTCACATTCTCCCTACTTTTGTGTATGTTTCAAAATTGCCATGTATTATTTTATTAAAAAGCTTAAAAAACTTTTTATAGACTACCCTTAAAAGTATCTAGACAAAATCTGTCATTTTTAACTCAAATTAATATATGTAATAGAATTTAAAAAAAAGATTCTGAAGGTTTCTTTAAGAAAAGGAAACAATCAGATTTAAGGACATCATATCATTTTCAGATTTAACTTAAAATTGGAAAGCTATAAGATCAATTTGTTGATCACTGAGTTAGAAAACAGAAGCCAAGGAAAATCATAATTATATTTACCAGCAGAAACAAAACAAATAAAAAACTCCAAAGCATTATTTTACTTGACAACATTTAAAAATTTGAGACTTGAACATAATTTTCTAATATTAAACATATTGTGAAGGAAAAAAACTTAAAATAGAAAAAGAAATATAAATATGTATATAAAAATGCTGCAATGACAAATTTAATCACCTTATTTAAAAAATTTTAAATATACTTTTACTTTCCCATGTCTTCAGGTCAGCATTAGCACTGCAGACAATTTAAATGATTTAACCTTTACAAAAAGGTTTCAGGTGATACCTGAAATCATATTATCACTGTCTTTAGAGTTTAGTTAGAATATTATTAACTACATTTTCCAGAATTTATGTTCTCACTTATCCAACATCCTGTTTCCTAATAAGTTAGACTATAAGTAAAAATGCCTTACGCTAATGTCTTATTCATAAATCTCTATATAATTAAAAAACACTACAACTCTAAGTTTCTCCATCTCATATAATGAAATCTTATATATCACCACTGACATTTACATGTTAGATCCTGTACCTTTGTGGTGATGCAGGAGGGGTGTAAAATGTTGATTTTGAGGGAAAAGGTTGCTTCTTCAGTGCTTGCATAAGGTTGGGTTTATATTCTGGATCAATACACCATAAGGAGCCTTTTCCATTAACCTAGAATAAAATATACAAGAATTAGTAACCTGGAACTTTAAGACACACAAAATCAGTGTCTGAATGCTTTTAATAAATGTGTGTGGGGAAAAAAACCCAATAGTACCTTTTGAATACAAGGCAAAAGTTGAAGTAAATTTGCTAGGAATGGACTGTGTGACTAAAAGCCCCAGAGGCAGGCTGCCTGGGTTCCTATCCCCTGCGCTGCCATTGACCCGCTGTGTAATTTTAGGAAGGTTAACTAACCTCTATTTCTCTGGGCCATTATTCCCTTATTTGTAAGGTATGGATAATAACAGTACCTACCTCATAGGTTTGCTCTATGGATTACATTATGCATAAAGTACTCTGCACATTGCATGGCACTAGGGCCACAGGACTGCACAACTCTAGGACATGGCATTCACATTACATTCTGTGAGAATGATACAACACCAAGCTGTGCAGAGAACAGCATGAAGGGCTGTACAAGGTGGCCCTCCACATGCTAAGATGTCAACAAATGTTACCCCTTATCATTACTGTTAAAGAAAGAAAAGATTAGGTAGTGTCATTCTCCCAAAAGTGCTAAACAATATATTAGGTGATGAATATAAAAATAACTTCATTTTTTATGGCATTAACACTAGTGTTTAGTTTCCCATTTAAACTGTTTAAATTCAAGGCAAACAATTTAATGAAAAGATGGCAAAAGTCTCAAAGAGTAGTTAAGTCAAAAACTGAGGCATGGAAAAGACTCCTGTAAAAGATAAAAAACAGGGAGAAGTATCAACTCTTCCCTCAAGATGGTTAAGTTACAACATTCGAGGAACTTCTGGATAATATGGTAATGGGCACACAAGCCCAGATTTCATGGAAATAGTCACTAGAATCTAAAAATAATACAATTTGTATGATTTCTGGAAACTAGAGAAAATATAACAGAAGTGCCTGCTAAATTGCAAATGGGCGGTGCCTGAAAGACTGGCTTGCCTGCTCCACAATTCCGCTAATATGAAGGAACAGCTTACCAGGAAGGTAAGTAGACAACATACCTGAAGAATCTCACGAAAATGATCTAATGTGCAAGGGGAAAGGCCAGGCTATGAGATAATTCCTTCAAACAGGTTTGAAAAATGCTGAGTATTTTACCTCTTTCCTTCTTAGAAGGTTATATTACATACTAGCAGATTAAGGGTCCTAAACAGTCCTGCTTTAATTAAACCTGTTTTAAGAAGTTTCCCAAAGTTATTTGACACAGAACCTCTTTCTCCCAGGAAACATCTGAGGAGGCTAGTGTTCTGTGCAACACCTATGAAAAACACTGATGTAATTAATAAATTCTTGGAGAGCATACTTTCCAAATATTAACAGAAAAAACTACAAACATTGATTAGACCATGAAGAAAAATAAATTACCCTTTAAAGATCACTGTAGCGTAAAAAGAAAAAAAAATATCCCAACAACAAAATTCTCTGACCACTTGGAAATTTATAAACACTCTTGTATTAAAAATATATCCAAACTACAATTATAGATTATCTAGTAAATAAAAGGTATAAGAAACAGTTATATAAAAACTAAGTGGGTGTGGTCAAACGCCACACACACTAGTTGAGCTAGTCAAACTAAATAACTGAAGGACTTCAGGAGCTGTAAGATCACCTGCAAACTCTTCCTTCAGGATGTATCTTTCCTACTTCTTTAGCTGAACATCCATCCCTACCTACACATCCTGAACAGTCTGACTAGATCTAGCACATCCCTACAAATGTACCACATCTACCTACAGCTTACATACAAAACCCTATAGCCATGCAAAGAGGAGGTCCAACTGCAAATTCATCCCACACTGCCCCAGAGCTAAACACTACTTGTACAGAAGTTAAGAGTACAAGCCTTGGAGGAAGAATACCTATTTTGGAATCCTGGCTCTGTCACTGAACAGCTGTGTAACCTTTAGAAAAATGTCTATGTTCTCTGTGTACTAGTATGCTCAAAATATATATAAAACAGTACCTACCAGACACAAAAGCACTCAAACATTGGCTACTACTATTGTTATATTTTATGTTCATTTTCTTTGTAGTTTTAAAAATTGTTTGTTTCTTCCAGTCTAATAGTATGCAAATTTGTTTTTCTGTTTCTATTCCGCTAGTTACTGATACTAAATTTTAATAAATATTTTTGAATATATTTAATCTTTTGAAGATACAAATGTCAAAAATTAAATATAAAGTATAACCTGACCCCTTCCCACCATGATGTACAAAACTTCCTCAGAACTCACAAGATTAGTGAGATTCAAACTGTTACTATTTTTTTTTTTTTTTTTTTTTTTTGCGGTACGAGGGCCTCTCATTGTTGTGGCCTCTCCCGTTGCGGAGCAAGGCTCCGGACGCGCAGGCTCAGCGGCCATGGCTCACGGGCCCAGCCGCTCCGCAGCATGTGGGATCTTCCCGGACCGGGGCACGAATCCGTGTCCCCTGCATCGGCAGGCGGACTCTCAACCACTGCGCCACCAGGAAAGCCCTGTTACTAATTTTTGTTTTTATGTTACACCTTTTCTATTTCAAAAACCCTTTCTTAAAATTTGAATTACACTTCACAACATTAACAATTATATAGACAACAATAAAACTGACCTGTGTCCTATTCCCCTGCTCCTTTCTGCTTGTATAAAATCCTATATGATGTACGCTATTATCATTGCTGAAGATTTAATGTGATAAATTCCAGGGTGCTTCCATTTCCTGAACTCTTTTTCAAGGTAACATTAGCCTATTACCGAGGCTTTTTTATCTCTAAATATCATGTCGTAACTATTATAGCAGAATGGCATAATGAAAGAATACTGTTTCACACGTTTTCAAACTGAGGTGCTAATCATTGCTTATTGACTGGCTACTTGATAGTGGACAAATTACTTAATCTCTAGGAGTCTGTCCTCTCATATTTTATCTGTAGAATTAAAAAAACAGGCCACTTACTTGAGTTGTGATGAGAGTCAAATAAGGTAATTTATATGTAAGCGACATAGAGCTGCAAACTAAGTGAATACTAAGAGATTATACTGAAATTGGCACATATCAATAGTAAGCGTATATGGCTTAATAACAATATATTCCTACTCCTCTTCTAAGAGATGAGGGAGTTTTTAAAAACATCAACAATAAGAACAAAAATCAATTAATTCCAAAGAGACAAAAGTTAGAAAAAAAAGAGATGGATTAAATTGATAAAGGAAAAACATTCTTGTCTGAGGAAAAGTATGGTAATTGAGTATAAGGCAGTTTTTAACATCCTAGCAACTTAAATATATTGGAAAAGAAAAACCATGGGTGCCAAATCACACTGTAATATAGTAAGAAACATATCATACTATCAGGTGAAAACTTTTCTGGCCTACAGCAGCAAGATATCACATGAAGTACACTAAACAAGTATTTGAAATTTTAATTTTTTTCCAAAGGAAGTCAAATTTTACAAATGTAGTTTTGAATTAAGTGATGGAACATCTTAAATTAGATATATTTTCAGTCGCTTGACCTAAGTGGTAAATGTGTTTTGAAGATTGGGAAATAAAACTTTAAAATGTTAGCACCCACAACATCCTTTGCCCCAAAACCACTTCAGTTTCATACAGAAAAGATATGCATGAATTATTTTTCATATATTGACTAAGACAATTATTTTAATAATTCTAACCATGTTCTACCTTGGTATTCCTGAGATTATACTCCTAGAAGCTGTTTAGTTCAAATCTACTTTTAAAATTCTCTCGTGAGAGAACTGCAAATAATTTTGATCTTTTAAGAACTGCTATTTCTTTGAAACAGCAAATTGGAAGAACTGGTACTGAAAACTTGTAGTTCAGGGCAGTTAAGTGTCTTGAGTAAGTTCTCCAAATAACAGTCTGGTTTATGTTACCATGGCAGCACTTCCGTTCACTGGGTCTATTCACAAACTATCAGTAACAAGATAAAATTATGTATTTGCTAATCTATGTTTCAGAGTCTAGAGCAAAAAACTTATTTGGAATCTAAGTCTCACTTAAAAACTTTGCTTCTTTATTAAGTTGTGCTTAGATGATGGAACACAAGTAATAAAGAGTTTTAGAAGTACTGTTTTAAAATAAATTTGCCTATTACAAGACACATTTTTTGTGCAATGGAAACAGGAAATGTGCATTCTCTCATGTACTATTTTGCATTTTGGAACTCTAAGGCTTCTGGACTTATTTGGTAAAGAACCACAGAAGCTTTTGAAGAAATGAGGAATATATATTAAGAATTGAACTTTAAAAAGATTTATCTTAATGGAAGTTGTAAAGAAAACCGGGAGAAGAAACAATGTTCCCTATTCCTGAAATGTTTTTATGTACCTGCCCTGTACATTTTAATAGTTTCCCCCCTTGACTACCTTTTTCAGTGGTTTTTAGAACCACTAAGTTTAAAAGGGCATTATTCATAATTCTTGCTCATAGTGTGAACTTTTATGGTGGCTTGCATGACTTCCTTTCTTGGGATTTAGCTATTGAAGCAAATCACGACTATGAAAACGTAGAGACTAAAATTGTACTAAACCAGGCAAAACTTCTAATTTCATGTTTCCCAGTTAAAATCTCCATTAACTGTTTTAGTTTGGCTTTTACAAAAAGTTTCAAAAGCAGATTTAAGACTTCAGTGTTAACATTTAAAACATAAAAACAAATCAAAACAAAAAAACACCATGTCTAGTTTTTGTAATTTGAAAATTCTGAGACTTATAAATGCCAAGCCAAGATTTTTAGACCCATCTTTTGAGAGTGGTAACTATGGTATGGATGAGGGTAGGAAACTAATCAACAGCTATACCAGCTGGCTGGGTATCAATATCAATTTGTAGTTTGACCTGGACCTTTGTCAATCTTGTCTTCTTTTTTGAGATTACCATCTCTAGATAACAGCTTTCATCAGAAAACTGCTTTCAAGGTTGCCAAATTCAGTTCCAGCATCTAATGGAAGTAAGTGTAACTTGC